AGTAGATGCTTGAATGAAAGTTTGTTTGAATCTAAACAAAGAAATTATTTTTAATGGTCTTTTTAGTCATAAAATTCAAATAAAACAGTTTGAAACATTTGGTCCAAATTTGGGACAATTGTGCCGAATGGACTTTTTACAAACATAAATATGTTTATAAGCATAGTTTACCAATGCTTATGACTAGAGATCTGATATTTTACACAGTTGTTGTCCAAACAAGCGTAATAAGTGGGAGAGGTCAACTATGAGTTATACAAAAGATATAATAGAAATAGCATTTTTTTAATCAGAGGGGGAAATGTTTAAAGTCACACAGCTCTGGTTGTGTAAAACCTAAAGAGTCTGTACACATATTTCCAGAAACTAGAAGGTCCTAGCTTTCAAATGATGATATCAATATTAATTTACTGGCCACTGGCATTTTTGGTATGAAATATATTTGTGCACAGCTATATAATGTTGGGTGTTAAGGGCTTAACATTTGTTGACAGAAACAAATGTATTTTCTTTCCTCATGATGGGTGGAATTAAGTGTGGGAAGCGAAGTATGAGTCAGCATTATTTCTACTCTCCTCTCATTCTTTTGGGTTTAGGAAACAAAACCAACATGGCAGTGGAAATCTCTGACATCGTGAACCGCATCGCTCCAAAGGTCAGTTCTTTTATTTTTTTTAAATTGTATTCCTCGCCATCCTAAGTAACTTGTATTACTCAGCTGAAACAGTTCCCTTTAAAAGTGATTTCTGGAAAGTTTTGTTTTTGTTTTTTATAGAATATAAAGCCCAAATCAACAGAATCATCATTGCTACACTGGATAGACGATGGCGTGATCCCTTGTACTCCTTATAATCCGAAGCCCACAGCCAGAAGGAGGTCCTGTCGGTCCGTAACCTAGCAACACTTTCTTCCTTTATCCATTTCTTCCTAAATATTCTAAATAGTATTTAAGCTACAGGACCTGAACCTCTTTTTTTTCTCCATGGTGGTTTTTACCTGAACAGACAGAGCTGCGTGAAGGACCTCATGAAGCTTGCCAAGGAGCTTGATAAAAACATGCAGCAAGACGAGAAGACTTCAGTCCAACAGAACGCTGTCATCAGCCAACCTGTGAACGCCACTGAAATCAACGTACAGGATCCAAAGTGTCCGTCCTCGTTGGAGCAGGCAGAGGCAGAGCTGAATGCTCTGTTTGACTCGTCCACTCAGGGAATCAGTGGGAGGTTGAGTCAGGGTTCAGTCTCCACTCAGGACAGAAAGGACCAGCCAAAGACTCCTGTTTATGCTGATCACAAACAGTTAGAACCTAAGACAGCAGATAAGCTTCCAGAAAATAATTTAGTCTACTTTGAGGATGACTGGGACAATGACGACCTAATCAATGACCCCTTGATATTGGCGCTGACGCAGGATCCCAACGGTCCTATCGATGCTCACCCTGAGACTTCGGTAAAGTGTCCCATTCAAACAAACACTAAAACACTAGCCTCTGTTTTCAAAACTACTACAAGTCGAAGGAGCTTCAAACTGGAACCCAACCCTCACTTCCAGACCAGACTGGATAAAGATGCAGAGGAGTCCAGCTTCACTGTTATACAGCCCAAATCAAAGAGCCCTGCGCAGACCTCTGCTACCAGGAAGACAATCACAAATCCACAACCAAACAAAGTTACTGAGAAAGTAAAGTTTTTCCTGCCAGGCCCACCAGGCAATGATGCTTCAGACAGTTTCTGGGACGATGGTGATGACGATGCCCTTCTCTACCAGCTCTGCGACAGCGTGGAGAGGGTTTCCAACAACCAGCTGCAGGAAGTGAGTCACAGAAACTGTGAAGAGAAGCCAAAATGGCCCACAGCCAGACACCAGAACATCACAGATCTTCAAGTCAACACTGAACCCCCGGGGTCTTCCGGTATGAATGCAAAGAGACAATCATCGGGTTCTTTTGTCCGTTGCAACTCGTTACCAGTGACAACCCATGAAATGGGGAACTATCAAGGATGGAACATTCCTTTGAGAGGTGGCGGCCAGAAAGCGGGAGTTTCTCAAAGCTTCCCAGGTGGGAATGTCGGTTTGGGAAAGTTTAACCATGGTGCGATTCAGGCTGATGCGGATATGAAACCTCACACAGTGACAACCAGAGTACCTCAGAACTCAAGGTCCCAGCATGCAGCATTCAAAAGAAATGTGTCGGACTCAGCCATCATCAGCAACAAGGGTAAGATGTCAGCTTATAATAGGGCTGAAAGATGTGACTCTTATCATGTTTGATTGTTCTGGGTTTGTACATCTAACTTACCTCAGCCAATAATCTACAGGTTTACATTTTGAGGTTTCAATAATATTCATACCCTTTCCTTCTCTACTTCATCCTGTCATGTTACCTACTAAATATGAGGTGTATCTTACTGTGATTTTATGTAGTAGACCAATACAAATTGGGAGGTAGAAGAAAAATTATCAAAGGTTCATAATTTGTCAGTTTGACATGTCAAAATCTGAAAAGTGTGGCATGCGTTTGCATTCACTGCCTGAGGAGTTAATGTTCACCTGGATGGATAGATGATCAGGAGATTTAAATCATGCTTTTCTTTTTTTTTAATAAATAGTTTAGTCAGATTAAATGAAAAGCATATCAAATTTTGAAGACTTGTCACAAATTCTATCAGGAAATAACTTTGATTGCACCGTTCTAACATCTGGATGTAATTTGATGTAAACCATTTTGTTTTAAGCTCTGGCTTCATGTTCATGGACGTCGTCCTTCTAGGATGTGAATCTTAACTCGTGGAACGATATCTTTCAGTGATTAACTTTACGTCCCGGCTGAAGAAAATGTAAACCCACAGCATGACGATGCCTCTGCCATGCTTTGCCCCCACTGGATGGTGCATTTAGGGTAGAATGCATTGGATTTTTCTTTGTCACCCATCTGGTTTTGAATTCAATCCCAGACAGTTGCTTTTTGGTTTAAGCAGACAATTTGTTACTGTCTAACAAACCTCTTAAGTTTTCGCAGAGCAGCTGAATTTAAGTAGTAAGTTGCCTATTTTTTTAAGGAAATTAGTTACCCTGGTTTGGTTTAGGGATGAAAAGCTAAAGTAATCCGAATAAAAGCCATAGTTTTCCTTTCATTTTACAATTATGCTCAAAGTTATTGTTCACTGCCTCAGAAAACCTTAATAGAGAACTACAAATGGAGTTGTTGACACATGGAAAAAGGATTAGAGATGGATGATTGTCAAAGTGTTGCATGGCATTTTCCCTTTGAATGGTTTGGTCTTTTTCTCATGGATGAATTTTTCTGTCTGTTTTGTTGCAGTTTTTGTCACCAACCAGACCACAGGGAAATGCTCTGCAGCTGAGATTGAGAGGAAGAGGCAGGAGGCCTTGGCCAGGAGGCGACTGAGGATGCAAACCCCTCAAATCCACAACAGCTGAAGACAAAGATCTTTATTACACAAAAAGCTTGACATCAATGAATGAAAATACTTCATTAATGTAACTTTAAACCAAAGAGGCTAAATTAGGTTCAGATTCAGCATAACTCTTGCAGTGTGTAACCCTTTGTTTTTGCACAGATTATGGACCAATTTTGTACTGAAACATTGTTTTGACATCTGAATGTTTGATTTGAACACCTTTAGAAATGTTTTTTGTAGTTTTTTTTTATCACAAATCAACCCAACTGAAACATCAAACTGATTCTGTTTTTTGTTTCTATACTTTGAGTTGGAAGGCATTATTGGGTTCTTTTATCTGCTTTGTTACTGTAGCTAAAGGGGATGTTGGGATCTCCAAGTACATCTTAGCCATCCTCATGTGGAACAATTACTGCATTCCCTGCAAAAGTATTCATGACTCAGAGTTGAGGGACCAAGATGGTTAAGCATGAGGAACTGTAGCTTGCAACTTGAATTCTTTCTGATTTCAATACATATTCTTAAAATCCACTAATTATCAGAATGTTATTTTAGACAAATTATACACATTTCATGACATTTCCATTTAAGGGGTCTTCATAAAGTCTTATATTTAAGCTTAAGCTACTACTACAAGGTCAGAGGAAAAAACGTAATTCAAGTGAAAAGCATGATTAAATGACACAACTTATGGTTTAAACCAGGTAAAATGACCTATCACACTAAAAAGTGGTTAAATACTGGCTGATCAGATCACACTGACAAAGGGAAGGGCAAATAGGTAACGTCCTACAAATGTAACTAATAAATAAGAACGTAGCATACGGTTAGCTTGAATGTTTTAAATTACTTAAATGACTAATACATAAATATTGCGTTAGGCAGATATTAAAAGAGCACTTATGCAAAGATAAAAAAAAGTGACTAAAAAGTCCTTCATTGTGCAGGTTTCTCCCAATCAGTCACAGAATCCATCTATTTCCATGGTTTCAGTCCACGGAAACCCCCACATAACACCTGTATAAAAAGAAAGCCCAACAAATGTTAAAATGGATTTAAAATAATTAAATCTACCAAAGCCAAGTCAATATGACCTAATTTAATCTCAACAAATAAATGGAAAAAACAAACTTTTATTGTTGCAGTGCAAAATAAAAACGACTAAATAAAAAGCTGCTGGTGAAATGGGGTTACCAACTGTGTGGCCATCAAAGGGACAAATGGTAAGATGCTAAGATTGGAATTGGTTTGAAAATCGTCCAACAATGTTACTTTAGGGATTTATCACTTAAAATACTGACAAAAAAGAAAAATAAATTGATGTTTATCAAGGTATAGGAATGTTTTTCTGCAGTCTGAAACAATCTCCTTGATACATTTCTACATCTGTGACAGGAGTCTCATGCTGAGAAGAACAATTGAGTGGTGAGAGTTCAGACAGAATCGGCTTAACAGAATTGATTATAGTTTATCAGAAAAAGCACAACATACACTGATCAAATTTATGTCTGAAGCTGCAGGTAAAAAAAAAAAATAAATAAAACCCCATCTTTTTAAGCATATTTCCTAAATGTAGAACACAGTATAAGGTTCTGAGTTAAGATTGGTTAATGCTCTGTGTAAATATTAATCAATTTCCACTGATTAACCTTCATCTAACTCTTGCTTCTTGTTGCAGCAGAGCTTTCTATGCTCTCCATATTATGGGGCTTTTCAAGCTTATACTAAACATCTGCTGAAAACATGATGCTGAGCAAGAATAGTAGCCAAATGAAGCAGTTTTGCTTTTTTGTTGTTTTTTAGATCTAGATGAGGTATTTACAGTGCGATTGTGGTAGAAACTATATTTTGAAACTGGAAGTTGAAAATCAGCCTCATAGAAATTTAATTGAATTTAACTAGAATCCAACTTAGCATTGGATTTAATATATGAATATTTTTCTATCAACATATCAGTTTAATTTGATGAACTTTTTTAAAGTCTTCATGATTATATTGTTGATATTTGCTAAACAGCTCTTAAATTATTATTTTTATTAAGATAACGACTAGATTTGTACAGAAAATTGTCCTATGTTACATTCAGGTAATAAAAAATATATAGTGGCATACATGCACATAAGGGATATTCATTAGCCAACATTTTGTTAAATAGCTAGATAGAATAAGGTTGATTTTAGAGCTTCTGTGCAAAAACGTATCTTTAAAGTCAATCACGCAGCCCCAGATTTGACCAGAGACAGATCAAAATATGAAGTTTGTAGCAGGCTGCAAACAAAGACCTTGTACTCTGTAAGCTGTATTTCTATCCTAAATTGTTGATTTATACTAATGGACATACGGTGGATAGTTTTAATATTCCTTCAGTTCAAAAATTATGACCCATTTTGTTGGATTACAGAGGGAGCATAACATTGTTTCCATACCTCCTCAAACTGCATACCAACCTGACCAGACGTTTCTAAGCTTCTTCCACATGAAGAAATAGATTTTAGATTTCTAGCCTGACCAGATTTCTTTGATTAAATCAGGGGACAGGTCCAACTCAGATATACTGTAAAACAAGAATTAAGTGTATTAAGAGTATAATTTATATTTACACATTTACTCATATAGATCAGTGAGCGTAACAGCAGATATGTGTTTTTAACTGTATAGTATTTACAAAAAATATAACAAAAAAGTAATAATAATGGAGCATAAAAAGGGGATCTTTGTTTATGCAGTTTGTCCTGACAGCTTTTTTCTCAACAATGTTCTCCTCTTTTCCACCTGTCTGCTTTACACTTTCACCAGCCTCCCTCTTTCTTTTCCTCTCTCCTCTTCTACCAGTCTTCCATGTTTCTAAAACAGAGAAATAATATAATCACAATCCCATCAAAGAAAAACTTGCCACATGGGTTTTAAAAAATATAAAATAAAACCCAATTAACAAGTAAACATGATTTTCATATGTTAGAAGTCAGTTATGTTTTTAGACGACAATCTTGTAATATTCTAGTGTATTCTTAATGTGGATATTTTTGTATTATATTGTTACATATATAGTTTTTATATTATTCATATTTGTCATATTGTATTTATAATACTTCAATTTGTTTCTTTGGCTGATTAAATGCCAGAAATACTATCATTAGAAAAAAACAAAACATTTTTTATTTGGAGCTATTAACAGTAAGGAGAAAAACCTCCCAACTGTTACAGTTTTTCATAAAACATGAGTAGATATATAAAAACAAATGAAACCATACTAATCCAAATTTCTTATTTTTAACCAACTGTGATGGTCTGTTTATTTTGAATCTATAGGTGTCTACAATCATCTGAGGATAAGTGGATGTAGAATGTAGATGATCATTCATTATAAACAAAGTATCATCTGCATATAAAGCAAACTTGGTGATCCCTGTTACCTTCAATCAACCTTGGCTAGCACTGAACATAATTGATGCAGGACTGGGCTAACCGAATAACAAGATAAAGTGTAAAGGTCCGCTTTAAATAAGTCCTGCCAATTTCCCTCTTTTTGATGACTGCTTCCTTCCTTTAATGAAGTTATATCGCTTGACAAATTAATAGGCACTTTTTAAAAGCATTTATTTGGAAGTTGTTAAAACTTACGAAAACCACTATTGTGGTTGGAAAAGAAGTCTGTAGCTCTAGAAGACATGACATACAGCTCAATATTTGCATCTTGAACTGTATGGACGAATTCCCTTCTAACTGTAAAAAATATTTATCTTTTCAAAATCTGGAGTTTCCCAGCCCTCTCGCTTTGGTTTCAGCTGTCTGAATGTCATCCACATTTCCAGGCTGCATCAGTGGAGCTCCTGCAGGATCACACAGCTGCTCAGGATTTGGAGTCATTACAGAAGGGCTCCCTTATGGCACTTATTGGCTCCCATTATTCCAACCTATGTGTATTTTGGAGCTGCTGACAGGTCAAGTAGTCATCATGGCCTTATTTCGCAAACACTCAAATCTGTTTTCAACAAGTTGCCGTACGAAATTTAGAGCGAAGGCGCCGTCTCGGCCTACAGAATATTATTGTTATTAGACAGAAGGGATTATTTTAATACGAGGGTTAATTTGTCTTCTGGACTCTTATCATTATACTCAGCTGCTGTGTGATTTTCTTGGAGGGGGGCGGACAATGTTCATCTTTGTGATCCCAGGAGAATTCCTCACTGTTCTTCCCACAGCACCATTCCCACCCTGTTACATTTTGGTTAGAGTTACCAGGTGTGTGCTAATGAGAGACGGGTGGTCTGCAGGTGTGTGTTCTTGATTATTTATTTCTCTCTGTACTATCTGCTTCCCCTCGCAAACCTCAGCCCGATCGTAAATCACATGGCAGGGCAATTTGGCAACAGCATAAAGGGCCGCAGTTTTTATGACTATAATTATGGTTATGATAATATGACTTGTATTTATTTCAACTTTCTGATGAAACCCCTGGCTAAAGCTAACAGGTGTTGAGCAGGTACAATATCATGCTTGCTGAAGGATCCCTGTGATGTTGCCGTGAATAGAGCAGAATATCATACGGATACCAGAAGAAAGACCTGTTTCAGTGCCCTCTCGTCACACGGAGCAATTTCTGATTACTGGAGGGGAGTGGAGAGCCACAACGTTCCCCTTTGTTGAAGAAAGAATGATTTATGGCTGTTAGTCGAGCATAAGACAGTAATTGCAGCAGTTACAATTATGTAACCATTGCACCTGTTTAAACTGTCTATTCTTTTGTGGATGTTTTTGTTTTTCAGCAGGGTTTGGAGCTTGAACTTTATATGCAAAGACGTAAAATGGCGTCAGGAATGAGCCCCGGAGAGGTCTGGGAGCAATTTCGAGATAAATGGGAGCGTGTGATGGTCAGATTGGTGTTGTGTCATCTGATATGCAAAGAAAACAACTTGGAATATTTTCTCAAACACAAACGATGAAAGCAGTCTTTTCAGCAAGTATAATAAATACACTGAAATGTGGCTTGAAAAATATGTCTGAGTAGACAGGTTGATGGTCATTTGGAAATCAGCAACACTCTGGGAAAATAATACTTTTCTCTGACTTTCACTCTGAAAATATTGATCTAAAAACCAAAATAACAAAAACAGAAATTGTGATTGTTGGAATACTGATTAATCATAGGCTTCAATTTCTGATGAATGTTACAGAAAAAAGGAACTCGGTAGTTTATTTTTCATTGTTGGAAAAACATAGGTTTAAAGTCTAATTTTTAAAAGGTTTAAAAGGGTAGGGCAATAGAAACCTACAAACAATATACAAATCACAGATATTTTTAACTACCTGTAGATGTTTGGTTCTCTCTTTTTTTATACAAACCATCCGTCTGTCTGTCCAGCCAGCTACTTCTGCTGATCCAATATAAAGTGCAGCTCTTGATGTTGGATTAGAAGCTCATTCAAGTGGATCAGAAAGTTTCTATTACTTTTGAAGTATTTTTCTGTGATTTTGTTTATCATCAAAAAAAAAAAACTTAGCAAAGGTATAGTGGAGGATGTTGTTTTTCTGGGTGGATCATC